CTATCCTGATCTAGGTGTTGGCGACAAAGTTAAAATATTTAGGAAGAAGAAGCCCAACGAAAAAGAGAGAGTGGGCAATTTCAGCCAAAATGTTTGCACCATAGAAAGAATTGATGAAAAAATGGGTCAAACTTATTATTATGTTGAAGGTAACAATTGAGCGTATTTACGCTTTGAATTGTTAAAAGTCTAATTTTTCTTTTGATAAATTTTTCTTAAGAGCACACTTAAAGAAATAACACCTACATATATTAACAGGGAAATGTTCAAGTTTGAAAATTGTTGGAAGTGTGACGAAATGAACAAAGTAAGAGTGTTAAATAACAAGTTGCCGATTGATATATGTAATCGTGTATTTGAATATGACAAGTGCAATAAGTGTAGAAAGAAGATTTTAGAAATTGAAGATTTTGATAAACACCCCAAACTTTCAAAGTTAAACAGCGTGCAAAAAAATAATACACTTGCTACATCGTAATCACGACATTGATACAAACATGGACAGGCGAAAATACAAAAACATCATCAGAAGGTCAAATAACCCACTACGAAAGATAATGAAAGAGTTTGTAAATATCAGAAACCATTCAGACGACGAACGTCTGATGTTTCACGGTGTATGTCATCTTATGTTATTGTATGTTGTCTTTAGCCGTTTATCTGATATAGAAGAGTTTAAAGATGATATTGAAAAATGTAAAATTAAAACGGCTAGTATCAAATTTAGCGGTTTTGCATTTAGTAAGGAAGTTATAGTAAAGGAAATAATACGCGAATGTTTTGCTTTTGGCTGGTGGGTTGGAGAGATTATGATAACACCACAACCGAAGAAATTATGGAGTATGTAGAGTATGTGTTTTCGTTGGCATAAAGCAGCTATAACATTATTAATATTATAATGTTATGGTTGTATCAAATATACTAGTTCAATTTCTTTTGATAAACAAATTTCTTAAGAAAAACACCTAAAGAAATAACACCCATATATAGTAGCAGGGAATGTTCACTCAGAAAGAACAGGATGAAATCATAAATGATTTTTTGGATGTTATCAAGGTTAGCGACTACATCAGGGAAAGTAGGGAAAGGCAGGATAAGTGTAAATGCAAGGATTGTAAAAAAACATGAGCGCTATTGCACCTTATACGAACTGCCACTTCCAGAAAAGATTATTCATAATATCTATGGCTTTACTTATCGGTGTTGGAGATGCGAACAGACTAAAGAAAAAGAGGAAGAATTAGAAGAAAGACGTGAAACCAATGATTTATGCTTATATGATGCTGATAAGCTTATTTTAAGCTTGGATCGCATATTCCCGTTATATGATTCAGTTAAAAATGTGATCACAAACATAACTATGAAGAGATACAATATGTTTAAGAAAGTATTTAATGAAATGATGTATTGTAGAGACAAAGAAGAATTAAAAACTTGGATACAATAAGCACTAAAATATTATGTTAATGCTACAACGTATGATTTTAACAAAATCGCTAGGGCGCTATTGAATAAACCTAGGTTTGACTTAATGGATTAAACAAACATAAAATTATGTTAAAATGTTATAATGTTATGGTTGGTGGTCACCCGAAACCCCAATCATTTTGTGACTTGGGTTTTTGATGATGTTGATATTGATGTTTTTTTGTTTTTCGTTTGTTTGTGTATAGCGTTTTCCAATGTTTTGTTGCTATGTTTGGCGTTTTTATCGTTTTGAAGCCCGTTATGTTTCAAAAATATGAACTTACTTTTTGTTGTATTTGTTGTTATTGCTTCTATTTTGAAAACTGTCTTCTATAAAATAACCAAGGCACTAGCAGAGGTAGATGTCGGTCAGCGTCTTCTCGGTGGCGTGGTAGCGCTCGAGGATTTGCGTAAGTTCGTTGTTGGAGTCCTTCGCAGACAGTGGTCAATTAGATGCGTCCAATTGAGGTGTATTGCGCCACATTGCCGATCGCTCTGCAAAAGCAATGTTTTGGCATCTCATTCGGTGCTCTTGCCGAGTATTTTGAGAGCGAGGGGAAAACCCCTCTTTGGTCTTAACAAGTTGTTTAAAACCTTAAGCTTTGCATACTTGATATACCCGAAGAGGTAAACACCAACGCTCTGTGTGCTTGGGACTTCAGGCGATCTCGCCGATGTGAGACTTGGTTTCTCCGCTGCTTCTCTGCACTGTAGCAGCAGCAAGAACGAGGAATCTATGCACCAACGCGAAGGTCTGAAACTGCGTTCACGGACCTCACTGCAGCATTCTCTATGGATATGTGAGTCGTGACGCCGCCACCTGGGCTGCCGATTGTCATGGCACCATCGGAAACATCTTCGGATTCACTTGTCTGGCTTGATGACTGTGTGGGAATAGCCTCTGCTCTCTCCAGGTTGTCGACAGCATATTCGCTTTCACTAGTCTGGCTTGACGAATGCGTGGCGACAGCCTCATAACCTCCCAACTCCAGCATGTTGTCAGCAGCATCTTCGGATTCACTTGTCTGGCGTGGCGATTGCGTGGAGAGCACCCGATAAACTGCCCTCCCCACCACGAATCGCGCATTCCTCTGCGCATCTGTGTTCCGGAAACAGTACCACAGAGGAAACAGCCAAGCCCACAGCACCACTCCGACCAGATGGTGACGAATCAAGAATGCTTGATGGATGTCGAGGGACATAACTACAGAAAAAGCTGTGCCCTGCAAGAAGACCAGCTTGATGTAGAAGTGCCGCGTGAAGCCGAGATCAAGCATCAACTGGAAGGGAATGACACGCAACTCGAAGAGCAAGAAGATGCCACTCAACACCAAAGTTAGCGCAAGGTGCGCATGGAACACATCAATGCCCATCCTGATTTGCTTCCAAGGGTCCAAGTCCAAATCTGTTGTGAGGACAACGCAACCATAAAGATGACACGGGTCTTTTGAGCCGCAAAACTCAGCGTACCTGGCATATCTCGGGTCGTTGTTGTCAATGAGCTGGATTTGCGGAAGTGGACAGACGTCAAGGAAATTTTTTAGAATTTCCATGCGCGACATTGGACAGTACCGTGGGCAGGCTTGGAATAAACGCCTGTGGTCGACGCTGGCTTTCTGGACCTTCGCGCTGCGGCATCACTTCAATGGTCATGGACTGTGCGGAACTACTGTTGGTTGCTGGGACACTTGGTGGTGCCCCAGCCGGGCATGGCAACCCAACACCCGAAACCCCAAACCTAAGACCAAAAAGTGTCACGGGGGCCTTGCCTATTTAGGTGTATGGAGTGTATGGCACCTATAGGTAGTGTAGGGGTATTGGGATAAGGTCTCCCAAGACGTGATCTCGGGCTTGAGATCTTGGGTGCAGCGTTGGGGTTCAGATCTTAGGGATAAAGTCCTAGGGTGGAGTATTGCAGCTTCTATGAGGCGGGTTTTGCTTAGTTTCAGGCGGTAGATCAGGCTGTGGATCCATGGTTGCTGCTGCGGGGCAAGTAGGCCAAGTAGGCTCTGATGGAAAATGTGTTGGAACAATGTTTCTGGGGTGTGGGTCTTAAGGGGCTGGTGAAGAAGGTCGGAAATGCCTCGAGGTAGCTCCCAAATACCTCGGGGTCAAACCCTGAACCAAATTCTACAAGACCCCCATTCCCGTTTTTGAGCTATGGCACCTAGGTAGATACGAGTGTTGAGAATAATTTCTGTTCCTAAGATTGTAATCTGACTTTGGGGGTGGGTGGTGCCGATAGCCTAAATAGGCAAGGGGGTCCCTAACTCAAAGACGATTGTCTCCTAAAAAGAGAACCATATCAGCTTCCATGCTTGTTTGGGGAGGGTCGACTCACGAAGCAAAACATGCTGCTTCAGTCAACCGACTCATCACACAGGAACCAAGGTATAAACAAAAAAAAGCCGCGACTGTAGCAAACCTTATAATCGCTATGCCGAAGCAACTTCTAAATTCTGAATCGCACGTAGGTCCCCCCGTATCTAGCCCTAACCAGAATCCTAACCAAATAGCCCAAACTCCCAAACCTCAAGCCCCAAAACTCTCAACCCCAAAAATCCTTAAACCCCATAACCCCAAAAACACTACCCTTTCCGAAACGAATATAGAACCCCTTATAGCCTCCTGTTACAGGGAGATTTTTTCTTATATTGCCCCTGTTTCCGTTTCCAGGTTAGTTTTGGGGAGGGTAAAGCCTCCCTAAGTCCTGAAACCTGCATCATGGCGGTAACCCCACACCGTCTTTTTCGTAAGGCTGCACAAGCGGTTTATTGCGAATGTCCTCCCTCGAGCAGTCAGCTCGCAATCTCGGTCTAGGGTTTAGGGTTTTGGGGTTTGAGAGCTTTCCTGGAGGGTCAGGTTGACTTCGTAAGTATACTTATGACTCCTACAGCCCATATACTAACTAACGCCACGGATCTATATCATTAGCCTCACTACGTCCCCCTGACCCTAAACCCTAAACCCTAAACCTTAAACCCTACACCCTAAACGGGCTGCTAGGGTGCTAGGGGTCCAGAGGGTAGGGCTTTGGGCGTGGGAGTTCGGAGATTCGGGGCTTAGGATCCAAGAGCTTCGGGGTTGGGGTTTTAAGAATATTTTTGTGGGTTTAGGGTTAAGGGTTGAGGCTTAGGCCTACAATATGTAGAATTATAGCCTTTTGGGCTGTTTTTAGGGGCTTAGGGCTACCATTTCACATACTTTTGGTGTTCAGGTAGGCCTCATGACTTCAGGAGATGTGGGGCTGAGAGTGCACAAAATAAGAATCAATCCTGGATGAAACCGTTCTTTATGGTTTAGGGTTTAGGGTAAGTAGGCCCCCAGCACCCTAGGTCCTCCCCCATACCCACTGGGTCCACGTAGCTACATAGTATGTACTAAATTCCTGACCTTTACTAAACCCTGAACTCTCAACCTAAATCCTCAACCCTACACTCCAAGTCATAACCCTAAGGCTCTAAAGACTCATAATACAAGGCTTTTGGGCCCAAAGACCACACTACAAAAGGATTTTGGACTGTCTTGAGCCTTAGAAACCACGGGAAGGGATGCCATCTTCCTTTCTGCTAAGCCCTATCAAGCCTGAACCAGGGACCTTAAACCCCTAGACCTAAGCCCTAAACCCCGTTCTGGGCTGTTTTTAGGGGTTCTGGACGATTATGTTTACCTACTTTTGAAGTGCAGGTAAACCCTGTATAGCTAAAGCCTGATGGATCATCTCGAATTCCTTGAACCCTGGAGGGTCTATATAGGGTTTGGGGTTTAGGGTTCTAGGGTAAGTCATGGTCGTGAACTCGATGCTCGAGATTGCTAACGCCGCTGAAGTGGAAAATCTGAGTGAAACTCAGCCACAACTTCATCCGCCCCAGTTTGTTAATATCGGGTTCAATCCCAATCTATCTAAATACATACCCCTTAGAGGATTCTAATATTTATGAAATGCTGGCTAAACTTTAATCCTACCAGTTTGCGCTGTTGAAGGCAGGTCTGAGCATGCAGCCGGCTGAAAGCACAGGCCGTATATTAGTCTGAAAGATGAATTTGCCTGTTCTTGAGATAAGTGTTGACAACACAGCTTCTTAGAGCCCAAGTCAGGACAGCGCAATGCTTCGTGATTTTCTTCATTCTGGAGTAGCTTTCATGGAAATCGCAATAGGCCCCTTTCAACAGAACAATTGAGTAGTGTTTTTTGGTGGTTGGACCCAGTAAGATAATACTCCTTACATAAAATACTATACACAAAAGTTGGATATAATCTTACTCCATATTGGGTATCATAGTATCCCCGAATAAATTCTACTCAACTGTCTATGTCAGGCTAGGAGGCTGGCATTTCAATTATGTTACATGTAGAGTTGGGGGTTGCCCAATACTAGGGGAAGCTTTTGGGGCGGGGTCTCCATAAAAAAAGGATTATAGTATTTTAGGGTCTACATTGGGGTCCCCCTATTTCAGGAAAGTATCATTTCCCTCTGCAAAAGCCAATCCACCCTAAACCCTGGCCTAAACCCTAAACACAAACCCTTAACCCTAGAAGCCCAAAGCCGCCAACGTGGCACCAGCCAGGAGCGTTGACGGACTGCTAAGCACTATAGGGTTTAGGGTTGAGGGTTTAGGGTTTGTGTTTAGGGTTCAGGGTTTAGGGTTTAGGGTATGAGATCTTACATTCTACGCAAAGGACTAAACAGGGTTTAGGTTGGATACTGCCTCCACTCAGTAACAGTTGGATAATAAATATTGTATGGTTATATATAGCCCTTAATAGGACCTGGGTGGGGGCAGTACCCAAGGTTTAGGGTTTGGGTGCCCATTTACTTGATGGTCCCGCCTCTAGCATCTCCAGAAACCTAGGATGAAAATGGTCCCCATGTTTTGAATGCAGATTATCTTGAAATAGAATAATTTCTGACCCCCCAAAAGGGGAAAAGGGCTTGCTCAACACCCCAGGCCTTTACAAAGGCCCTTAGAACAACCCCTCAACTTACCCTATACATCCTAAACCCTGGAGTATGTGGCTCCGGTCCAAATGGGTGTGGCAGATGCCCCTGTCTGTACCACAGGAACTTCAACCAAAGTTCAGGCTTTGGGGCTTTGGGGTGTAGGGCAAACTCTAAATCCGAAACCCTGTAGGGTCTAGGGTTCCAAGTTGGTTCTACTACACGCAGTTTAGAGCCCAAACCCTAGATCCTGAGCGCTAGACCCAAAACTCTAAACCCCAAGCTCCAAACCCAACCCTAAACCCTAAACACCCCAGCTCAGGGGTCCAAGAACCCTAAACCCCAAAGCCTAAATCCCAAACCCTAAACCCTAAGCCCTAAACCCTAAACCCTTAGGACATCGGGAGCTTGGGCTTTCGGAAGTGTTCAGGGTTTGTCAAGAGCTTCAGAGTTGTCATCTACGGGGTGGTGCCCCTAAGCTTGTTGAGGGTCTAAGGTCTAGCGTTTAGGGGTTTAGGGGTCAGGGTTTAGTGTTTGGGGGTTAGGGCTCAGGCTTCAGGGGTTTGGGGTTTAGGGGTGATAGGGTTTAAGGTTTCAGGCCGCAAGAAAATCTTCGAGAAGTGGCTGCTGACATGCGGTCTAGGGTTAAGGCTTTTAGGTTCAGTCCGGTTGCCAAGGCCCTAAACCCTAAAACCTAGACCCTAAACCCCAAGCTCTTCTACCCTAAGCCCTAAACCCTAAAACCTAAGCCCTAAACCCTAACCCCTAAGCCCTGAACCCTAAAGCCAGATGGCCTACTGGCCTTCTGCGAGGCAATCTCATCTCGAACACTGAAAAAGGAATTAGCTCGAAATGGGGGCGGAGTTGTAACAACAGGGAAATTTTCAAAGGGGTGTATAGGGCTCATGTAAGGACATATAGGGATTCATCGGGATTAGGGGTTTCCCGAAATTACGGGTACCTTCTAGGGGATCCTATCAAAATCATACTATTTTGGAGTCTATGTTGGAGTCCCCTCCTTCTGGAAACTACCAACTCCCAACACTGTGAACCATCAGTCGGGGCTTAGAGAGTTCGACTTTGAACCCTAAACTGCCTGCTAAACCCCTTGAAGATCTAAAGTCCTAACCAAATCCTGAGCCCTGAAACCTGGTTCCCAGACCCCAAAGTCAAAGCCGAAAGCCCCTAAACCCTAAACCCTAAACCTTAACCGCGCCACCCAAAGCCTGACTCCAACGCTTCTCTGTGTCACTGGCGTCTCACGCTGGGATCACCCCAACATCGACTGCATAGTTCAAAGAGGGGTCTAGGCTTTGGGGGCTTGGGGGACGATTTTGAGTATCGGGGTTAGTGATATTAGGCTGTGTGGGACGTTCTCAACGTTACCTGTACAATTATCCTGATGCCCTCCACCATCCCGAAACCCTAATCCCCAAACACTAATCCTACACCTGGCAAGGAACCCCCAAAAGGCCCCAGTCAGACTGTTGTCGTGCCATATGGGGCGTCCATGTTAGCTTTGGGGGCTTTAGGGGATGTCCATCCCTTGCAAACCCTAAAAAGTCGACGTTGCCATATAACAAATACCTGGGCCCCAAACTAGGTACAGTATACGGGAACTCGTTTGGGCCTTAAGTTTATACCACGGACCCCTTGGGACCCAAATAAATGGCATCTGCGAG